TCGTCCGAAACGTAGATCAATGACTAAGCAAAACTCCTCCCGCCCAAAACATGTATACGCCGGTGGAAAATGAAACCATATCTCATCATCACCACGTTGTATCCCCTTGGGTAGATCGTTAGTCATGGTCTGAAGAAACAAATGAGTCAACATAGCATCTCCACCTGGATGTTGTACTTTCAACCATGGCCTGAAACAAGTATTCTCAAACAAATTTCTTTGGACAGGTGTAAGTGTCGACGCAATTGTAGTGACTAGGCTTAATTTATTCCTTAAAGTCAATGCAGCCAAAAAAATTCCTAACAAAAACAATAAACGTACCAAGTTAGATATAATATACCAAAAACTACAAATTATACACAATAAACAGACATGATATTAAACAGGAAAAATATAGCCAAATATGTTTCAAACTAGTCCGATATTCACCCAAGTCGTTATTCTATCATAAGTCATTATTCTATTATAGTTCCCAAAATGCATCAGATAACATTCTAGAAGTAAGTATAAACATTTAAAAGGACAACATATAGGTTTAGTGCAGGTTCAAGGACAACATTCTAGAAGAGTAGTAGTTTATTCTTGAAACTTAAATTCGCAACACTGTGAAGTTAGTATTTGTCTTTGTTTTTTTTTTGAAGTAATGCAATTCATTTAAGTTTCAATTTGCAAAAGAAGAGTAGTTTATTCTTCAAACTTAAATTCGCAACATGAAAATTGCAACTCGAAAATGAAATTCAAAACACGAAATTCGCAACGCGAAAACTAAAATCGCGTTGCGAATTTCATTTTCGCATTGCGATTTTCATGTTGCGAATTTCATTTTCGAGTTGCGAATTTAAGATTCAAGAATAAACTACTCTTTTTCTGCAAATTGAAACTTGAATAAATTGCATTACTTCAACCAAAAGACAAATACTAACTTCACAGGGTTAAAGACTAAACAGTTTATCAGTATTGATAGTAACTGAATGAATTTACTAATCAATCTAAGTGAAATGGTTAATCTATATATTGAAATTACGAGTAAATTTATCATCAATTTAAATATGAAAAATCTAATAATAATACAAAAATTTCAAAAAAAAATACTTAAAAAAACTAACCATCGGTGATTGATTTTCCATTTGTGGTCGTGAATGGTTGTGAGAGGGTGGCTCTGAGAGATGAAGATGGAGGGGGGTCGCCGGATATGGGGACGGATGTCGCCGGAGAAGGGGACGGATGTCGTCGTAGAGAGTGAGAGATGAAGATGAGATTGAGTTGCGATTTAGGATTTTAGGTTATGAGTTGCGATTTACGGGATATGTTGTTTACATTTGTGTTGCGAAATTAATATTCGTGTTTCGAATTCGAAAATAAGCGCGCTTTGCGAATTTGACTTATGTGTTACGAATTCCAAATTCGCAACTGTGTTGCGAAATTGGAGTTTGTGTTGCGAATTTGAGATCGCGTTGCGAATTTGTTGGTTATTTTCGCAAATCCAAAAAAAATTAGTTAAAATCGTATATGATAAGTTATTTTCGGTCACTGAAGTTATTTTCTCTAAAAATTGAGAGGCATAAATAAAATGTTTATGAAAAGTATGTGTTATAGATTTTTTTGAATACAAAGGAAGTTAAAAACAGAGTTAAGAAACAGCAGCAGTAGTAAGGTCCCCCCGCGGCAATGCAGGGACAACACTAGGCAACTGAGCAAAACTAGAAAAACCAAAAGGTAGACACCAAGCTAGTTTGGCCATCGCATCTCCGATTAATTTCCTTCACGTGGTACATGAGCAGGATGGAGCCGCCAATCACGGGTTAACTGCAATCACATGAGGTACCAGGTGGGAAGAACTATCCATCGCTGTACCCTGTCGAAGAAAGTCGTAGACCTCTTTACAATCCGTTTCAACTACGATCTGACATAGTTCTAAATCCCAAGCCATATTTAAGCCTTCTTACACACCCCACAGCTCCGCATCCAAGACCGAACATCCCCCTAACGCTTTTGCAAAACTCGATAGTCATCTCCCTTCCAAGTCTCCCAAGACACCACCGCAAGTTGCAAGCCCCGTCGTAGGATTTTGAGCTCCATCCACATTCAGTTTCTACCAACCACTCGGAGGAGAACACCAAGCAACGATATTATGACTCGGCTGCAAGGAACCCATCCTACTCATGCTATATACTATATAGTGCAGTTACCGCCTCAGAGCACAATCTCCGACTACGTTGCAGCATGCTCTCGACATCCACATAGTCTGATTCGAAAATAAATTTGTTCCTCCTAGTCCAAAGACACTAAGAATCGAGCCAAAGAGCATTTCCCAGCCTTCAGCATTAACTGGAACTTATCCCGAACTTTGTATATTAGTTTCTATCCATTCATGTAAACCCATAGTGAGGAAGTCATTTAGCAACTCAGGCTTAATGATTTCTGTCCAAACGGAGTAGGCGACAATACACCCCCTGAAGATATCCGAAATGGAATCCACCGTGGCACCACAATATTGACAGCAAGAATTATCCGTAAGGTGACGACGGGCTCGTTTCTCGTTTGTCATGAGTCGATTATTGCAAAGTAACCAAAGGAGCATTTTTACTAGCCGCGAACCTTTGTAACGGGAAATGCTTTCCACAAACTCGTGTCACCCGATCCTGATCCACCCAACCGTCGGTCGTTCGCGCTCGTGGTAGAAACGGCGGCGCTTGTCCCACTTCCACCCCGGACGGTCAGGTCCCCCGATATCCAAAGGAGGCTTTACCGCGACAAGGGTGAGCAAGGTAGTGACCGATAAGGTCATGCGAAGCCCATCCCATCTCTGATCCCCATTCTCACCATGGAACGAACCGATATTGGCTCTGGCAAGACGTGATTATGAACCAGACGGTGATCCTTGAGGGGGCCAATATCATCAAGCCACTCGTCGTGCCAGAAATCAACATCACCACTTCCGGAAGTCCAAACAAGGCTCTTCTTAACTTCGGACCAAACAACACTTATTCCCCTCCAAGTGCGAAAGCATCCGTTCCTAGATATGGAGTCCGGGATATCATCGCCAAGCTTATACGTGGAGCGCTGCAATCGTGTCCACAACTGGGTTTTACAGGATAGAAGGCAAAAAGCTAATTTCATGAGAAAAGCCTCATTCTGGGTTACCATTCGCCTCAAACCAAGGCCACCTCTATCAGTCAGTTGACAGACTCTTTCCCAACCCACAAGGTGTACACCCTTTTGCTCATCAGAGTGCCCCCAAATAAAATTTCGAGTCAAACACTCAAACTCCATATACACGCTTTTCGGGAGGTAGCAGCTACATAGCATAGGAAGGCAAAGTATTCAGGACCGTCTTTGCTAGAGTAACTAGACCAGCAAATGATAGGGATTTAGCTTTCCATCTAACAAGTCTGTCACGAACCTTCTGAATCAAGTAATTATAGGTGGCACCCGTAACCTGTTTATGGAGCAAAGGAACACCCAGATACTTGCCTAAATCATCAACTTGCAAGAATTGGAAGCCTCCACTAATTTCACTCTGGAGGTGCTCATCCACATTTGTGGAAAAATAAATATTCATCTTGGCATGATTGACTCTATGCCCCGAGCTATCATAGAAGTCCTGCAAAACACGTTGAATGATATCCAACTAAGTTAGAGAGGCCTTAGCAAAAAGGACTAGGTTATCCGTAAAAAATAAGTGTGATAGAGCAAGACCACCACGAGAGAGAGTGATCGGTTTTCAATTTCTGTTTGCCACCTCCCTTTGAATAGTCTGAGCCAATCTTTTCATGCAAACAACAAATAAATATGGTGAAAGAGGGTCCCATGACGAATCCCTCGTGAAGGTTTAAATATCTCAGATTTTGCACCATTCCACAATACTCTAGTAGAGGCCGATGACACGCAATTCATAATAAGTTGGCGCAGTTGTTCCGAACAGCCCGTGTCACCCAAGGTATCACCTATAAAGGACCATTCTAATCAATCATAGGCGTTTTTTTAAGTCAATCTTAATTGTCATCCATCCTATATGTCCTTTCTTTCGACGCATTGAGTGAACAACCTCCTAGACAATAACAATATTATCAGATATGCTTCTACCCGGAACAAAATTTGTTTGGCCTTAATAGATCAACCCTGATAAAAAAAAATGTTTGAGGCAATTGACCACAACTTTCGTGACAGTCTTGTAAAACACCGCGCATAAACTAATAGGTCAGAATTGAGATATATTTTTCGACGTTGCAGTCTTGTAAAGCAAAGTTTTGTTGATATCCGCAGGCACTAACTTATTCACGAAGCACTCCTCGATTAGCAGGCAAACTCCTGGACCTACAAGATATGAAGTTTAAGTAAAAGAGCTTTTGAAGAATTTTGAATGATGAAGGATCTTTGTATAAAGGAATAAATTATTGGTGAAATGAAAACTAAATAATGGCAAATTAGGGAACGGTTGGTTTTGGACCCATTGACCATTGACCATTTACATTAAAAAAAAAAAATCACCCCCGTCTCAGACTTAATGTATGACATTAAATTTACAGTGGCGAGAGATGGGATCCTTGGCAGACTCCGAATCTCCTGGACCATGGCATATGATTTCACATGTTCAGCAATCAGCTTCAGCCTCCCTAAATTCCCACCGATCCAATTCTGAATGCTTGTAAAATAATAATAATAATAAAAAATTGGACGGGACGAATTAGTTTTTGATTTAAGAATTTGAAAAACGCCATTTTCGTTTAAATTATTTTAGATTTAGATGAGATCTGCTTGAATTTAACAACTTTTTACAAATTAATTATTTAATTCATTTCGAATCTGGAGGGTTCAAATTGTTATAAATTTGAATCGTTTTAAATTAAAATTATCCTCTGTTAAAATTCTAGTTCAAATTGTTTCCACGTGCACGAGTTCAGGTTATTAACTTTAAATCCAAATTTACAGATCTAAAACAATAGAGGGAAAAATAGGTGTTTAGATGAATGGCATTTAGTAAAAGAGTGAAACAGAAATGGGGGAACAAAGGGCCATTTATTCTTCAACATCTTATCCTGGAAAAAAAGACGTCCATAACAACATTCGGATCCCGCTTTTCCAGTCCCTATTCCTTAATCTTTCTACTCATATATAAAGGACAATAACTTAGGATGTCATTAAAAACTAAATTCCTCATTGTGGTCATCATGTTACAAAGTTACAACTCATCCTTCACATCATGGCTGCTCGTAACGCTCTCCTCCTCCGATTCATCACTAGAAGTTTCTGTAGTTGATTGTGCTTCCATTTTGGATGCCGAAACTGGTTTTTGGAGCTTGAAAGGGATTGAAGCATGTTTCTTCAGGAACTTGTAAAACGCCACTACAGTTCTATCAGTGTCCACGGTAATCTGCCAATGTCCAGTATCACAGACATTTTCATTCAATTTCACTTAAGATGAGGGGAAAAAATATGAAGAACATGATATATACTACTTACAGGATCAAAACTCTTGTTTCCTGCTGGAAAGAACAGAATCGTCGGGAACCCATCGGACTGCCAAAATAATTGAAGTTTCACTCGAGCTCAAGTGCAAAATACAAATTGAGATGGATGATTTTACAAGCTTAACAAAAAAGTGCAAGTGCGGATTTATCTTGATTTTACCTTTGCCCTAGGATGTTCGTTTGTTGTCCCGTCCATTTTAGCAATAACCAAAGAGTCAATACCATGAAGATGTTTGGCGAGCTTGTTGTATGTGGGCTCGAGAGATTGGCAGTGGCCACACCAAGGTGCATAGATCTGGTATTCAGAGCATTCGACAAAATAAGCATGATGAGAAAAAGATATAAGCTTTTTCTTTTTCCATATTGGGTTCCAGCAATACCTCAAGAAGTACATCCTTTGATTCATCTAAAACAATATCGTCAAAGTTATTGCTGACAACAATTTTCACATCCCCGTCATTCTGCATCAAATAGATGTTCCAGTTAAAAGAAATTAAAAAATAACACTAAATATACAAATGTAACTAAGATAACAATCAACAATGACAAAGTTGATAATGGGAAAATGATACTTACAGTTTCAGGAATGGGGTCGGATTTATAGAAAGGTTTAAGCTTCTCTTCTAAAAAATCTTCCCCAAAAGCCTAGAGAAAGGTAGAACACTAAAATTAGTTGATAGGAAGAGTAGACATTGTCTACCATTCACGTTAAGGAGAGTACAATAAAGCTAAATATGGTGAGACATAGAGTGAGAACCTTAATTTTGTCCAATGTCACATCTCCATCAAAGAAAAACTTCCTACTATCTTCGTTTCCAGTGTATGCAAGGATCTGCATGATGATCAAATAACACCATAGTGAACATCAAATTCATTGCAAATAGAGAAAAAAATACAATCGTTGTCCCTGCCACACATCTTCCATCGGGAAAAAAAAAGTTAGGGAGGGGGGTTTAAAAGAATGTGACGTACTTTGGGACCATCTCCACTGACACCAAAATATTCTGCAACAGGTCTTCCAAAATCTTCATTATCCACTTGCACATAAACAAAGATAAGCTGAAAATAGGCATAATGGACAAGAATAAGTAAGATGTTACCAAAGTTATCATATACAGGCCTAGAGCGAAATGAAGTTTTCAGAATACACACTTCTTTATTTTACTAAATCACCATATACGATAATAAAGAGTACTTCAATTTATGCCAGATGATTTACTGTTACCTTTCCCTTGAAAATTTTGGCTGCTTCTTGGAATGATGGGATATACTTCTCAGAAATGTTTGACGCGGCAAACAGCAACACCTTCAAGAAAAATGATTTTTAGGTGCCAATAAGGTGATAATAGATATGCTACAGAAAACCTATATGCATGGTACAAATAGTCCAAAAGTTCAGAAATAGGAGGAAATGCTATTAGCACGAATACCTGTTTCTTAATATCGCTTTCAAAAATTGAAGGAGCACTTTCCCTAGTAAATATTGTAATCAAAGGAAGCTTGTTGGAGAATACAAACTCGGATATTGCAGTCTTGACAAACTGACCATCTGCTAGATGAAACAATTGGATGTAAAACTTCACCTAAAAAGTCAGATCAAGATTCCAACCAACATTGCATCTGTTTAGAAACTAACCAAAATAGCTTATTTTTTCAGCCTCCTTTTTAATTAAGACCAAAGCCGGGCATTTAACTTGAGGGTCTAAATGGAAAAGCTTTGCAACATCAGGATTCACAGTTTGATAGAAGCTGACATCATCTTGGAGACGTGAAGCTGCAGCAAGCTCCTCACTCTCATGACCCTGTTGTCATTATAATATGGAGATGGATCAAGTCTATAATAATAGAAAGACTCAACAACCTTATTTGACACGAAACCTTGAATTACAATTCAGAAGATGTTGATTGATCATCGAGTCACTCAAATCTTATAAAACAATAATTGTCTACATAAATATAACAAGAGATAAGTATATCATACCACCAAAGAATTCAAGTATCCCAATGCAACTTTAGATTCAGAAGTCAAGATGCGTTCAGCTTCCTCGATAGTGGAAACGTTGTATATACCAGGTCCTATCTTCTTTTTAATCCAGGTCACTATGGCATCCCTGAATTATCAATGATTAAATAATTTATCACCATCATTTAAAAGAAAGAAAGAAATGTTTGATTAAACGAAGTCAAAACACATTCTAATTTGTACATTTTTACCATGGTTTAACCAAAGTCAAGTTGCAAATACAGTAGATAACTGAAAACTCAGTATCCTATATATTTTATTTTTGTATTCAAACTTACTTGCTTCTAGCACCAGGGTAAGGCTTATGTTCTCCATCAACAAAGAAATAAACAGTGGGGAAACCCTGCACATCATACTCTTGAGCCAGCTCATTCTCCTCAGTGGCATCCACCTTGGCCAACACCACTTCCTCCCCTTTCAATTCTGTCGCCGCTGCAGCGTACTCCGGAGCCAACGCCTGGCAATGGCCACACCAAGGCGCGTAGAACTCAACCATCACGAACTTGATCTTCTCGATGAAATCGCTGAAGTTCCCATGCTTTAAAACGACTACGTCCTTATCGTCGACTTCTGGTTCCTTGTACTGATCCGAATCAGAGTCGTCGAAATCATGGAAGTTTCCGAAGTCATCGTCGTCTAAGTCGCCGTATTGGTCATCCTCGTCTTCCTCGTTGAAGTGAGAGTGATGAGAACCGGCGTCGCTTTTTCCTTCCGTTTCTTCGAGGAAACGGAGATCCTCGTCGTCCTCGACGTCGTCGTTTTTGGTTGTCTTGGAGATCGAGGGAGTGAGAGTTACAAAGAGGAGGAGAGAAACGAGGGAGATTGCTAGAAAGATCCGAAACGACGCCATTTTTTTATGGCGGAATTGGGAGCTTTTGAGAAGAAATGGGATATTTTCGAAAAACGGAGAACGAGAAGAGATCTGAATCTGAGTAGGGTTTATAGTGTGGAAGGAAATGGAGTTGAAAGTCAAATAACGCAAAAAGAGTCAACAACTCGACGAACGACGTCGTTTTATCTTGCAGGTTGGCCTTAATTGCGGACTGGATTATGCCCCTTACCCGCGCGTCTTAATTCCATTTACGTAGATTGCGCTGCATCCTGACTGATTTCTTAACTAAATCAGAGACTCGCCTTCAAATATCTTACAACTTTATGAGTTGGATAAACTACATAAATGGTCATTAAAGAATAAATAAGTAAGATTTCGTTTTAAATATTGAAATTTTAAAAATAATAAAATAATTATTATTATTTTGTAACAAATTGAACACTTAATTGTTAACAGTCGTGACTGTAATCACTCCTATAATATATTTGAACGGCACTATTTAATCATATTATCATCCTTTGATCGGTCACTTTAACTCTCACTCAGAGTCAACTCTACTATATTTGGATCTTCCATTGAGTATTTTTAATAGGCGAAGCTGCCCAAGCCTTCGACTGATGCTGCTAAATAGTATCTTGTTTCCCGTTACATGGACATGACCAAGTAAGCTCCTTTTCTTCATGCTTCGTGTTTTCTTGCATGAGTTGGTAGTTTATTATAGCTTTACATGTAAGACAAAAACCTTAAGGCGTTAAATAAGATTTTAACAGTATTCTTTTTTGAGCTATTCTGATCTTATATCTTGAAAATGGTAAAAAAAGTTTAATGGCAACATAACAGTCTGAGCAGTGAATTTTACTTCTCTCTTTATATATGTTGTCAAAGTGACAATTTTGCATACTTAGAGGGTTTCTATATGATTTTGTCACATTTTTACCAGGTTCCAAGAAGAGATAATGGCTTTATTCGCTTCCCTTATATGACTTGCAGGAAGCTTAAGAAGGTATTAGCATGTAATGATTTTGATAAAGAGCTTTCATCAAAGCTTGTGCTTGAGGCTCTCTTTCTCAAGGCTGAAGCCCCACATAGACGACGAAGCTTGGGTCTTGAGTCTGTCACCCAAAATCGTCGCTTTATCGAGCGAGCTAACAAATATCGATCTAGTAAAGTGGTGGAGTTCGAACTTCCCTGCCAGTGCCAACAGTGTGTTGTGTACCTGGACTTGAAGAGGGACGAATGTGCACATTTGTTCCCATCTAGACGAGTCTATTCTCAGGCATTCCACCAGGGTGGACATAGTTTCTTCCTGTCAGCTCATTGCAACATGGATCAACACACCTCAATCCACTACTTCGGGTTGTTTTTAGGGAAGCAAGATATTGTTTTGCAGCATCAGTCAGAGACTGGATAGCTTCGCCCACTAAAACACTTGATGGAAGGTAATTCAGGAACTGCCTCTGTTTTCTCATGTTCTTTATTTGCAATTGATGATCTCTAAGAAGATTGTAGCTGAGACTCGTGTTCCTTTAAAGTGAGAGTTAAAATAACTAGTCAAGGGGTGCCGTGACCAAACAGTGTCAATTCAACCACACAAACGTACCACGTCAGGCTTATGTGACTGTAGTAACGATCGTTAATGGCCGAGCGATCGATTTGCTACAAAACAATAATATTAGTGATCATTTCATTGCTTTTAAAACTTAAATATTAAAAATAAAAACTGACTTATACTTCAATGACCATTTATATAATTTACCCTTAAAATTTTTCTAGTTGAGGAATTTATACGTCGGGTTTGTTTTCACAGTAAAATAAGTTATTTAATTTTTGAGTAAAGTACACCGACTATAAGATATTATTTTATTGAGTTCATCGACTATTAAAAGTTACAAAATGATCATCCACCTATTCATTATGTTTCAAAATAGTCTCTTTTTGTTTACAAATCGGTAGCTTGAGCGGGATGTTAATCTGCTGACTGAGATATGATGGTCATTTGAGATTATTAGATTAGATTTTATCATATCTCAATCAGTAGATTAACGTCCAACTTAGACTACCGTTAATTTGTTAACTGAGAGGAACTAGTTTGAAATATAATGAATGGTCGAGTGATCATTTTGTAACTTTTAATAGTCGATGGTCTCAACAAAATAGTATCCTATAGTCGGGGACCATTTGTGTACTTTAGCCTTAATTTTTAAAAAACAATTATTTTTAGATTAAAATATACTTTAAACCTCTATACCAATTACATATTCCAATTGGATTCATCTACTTTTAATTTTAAATCTAATAATTCCTTTATTATTTTAAATTATAAAATCAAATCCAAGGATAACACCATCAAATATTGCCGTCAATTCCCCCCAAAAAAAAATCCTTTTTGGACCCAAATCCTTACTCACATAATTACCCCTAAGGTGTGTTTGATTTTTAACTACAATTATATTAAAAAGATTAGATGGATTTTCATGTAAAATGTGGCAATTATTAGCCTAACTATTGTACAATTATATCCACATCTAATTGGATCTTAAGAAAGGACGATCTTTTATCATCTTATTTCTTCTTTCATTTCCTCTTGACCCTATAACTAAAGTTGTTCTCCAAGCTATCCCTTCATACACACTATACGTTGTTTTCTTTTGTCACACATTATTTCTTAGTCTATTGACAATATACACATTCTATAAATACGGTCCTTCGAATTTGAATTCTTAAGAGAGAGCAACATTCTTTTTTTATCACGGAGATCATTTAACAAATTATAAATATTTTATAAACGTGGCGAAGTATCTAACAGCTATAAATGCTTTTGTTCAAGGCGTGCACTTAGAATTTAGATCAAGTTCAATTTTTATTTGAGATCACCACAGTTAATCAAGATTGCACTTATTTGTTATTATGTTGATTTTCTCTACTTTTAACTCTCTGATTGAATTTTGATATATAATTTACATTCGTTGATAGTTTTCTCACGTCACTTGACTCTGATTTGTAGGTTGTCTGTGGTCTTTCAATTGCTTGATCCTTGTTTGTGGTTTGTTTGTCGATGTGATCAGATTTATTCTTATTTATCTTTTATTCAAACTTTTTTTTTAACATTTTCTTTGTAAGGTACTTGTGTGATCTTAAATATACCTAGAAAACTTAACCTGATTACCCAAACCGATTTACCATATTCGAAACATGATATAGACTGGAATATAATGACCTAAAATTGTTCTGAAACCCAAATCGAAGCAATCTGAACCGAAATCGATCTGAATTTTAGTTGGACCGAAAATAATTTGTACGGAGAGTAACCCGAACCAAAACTAACCCAAACTGAAAGTAAACTTAACCAAAAGAAACACCCAAACCAAAAGCAACTCAAAATTAATTTACCTAAATCGAATTTAAACTAAATATCGGCATGAGTTTAACCCTATAATTGAGTCAAAGTGATCAAATATTTTATTCTTATTTATAATTTAAAATTAAAATATTATTGATAGTATAATATTATTTATAAAACTGTTTAAACCAATATTCATTCAAATATAATTAATTTATTATTTATATTTAATAAAAAATATTATATTTTTAATTAAATAATAAAAATCTAGTTGAAATTTTTAATTAATAAATTTTATATTTTTTTTTTCACCAATAAATCATATCGTAAATTTTCGGATCGGATCAATACGAAGAAGCTCAAAAACTCTAACTATCTTATAAATCGGATTTCAAGTTAAGTTATATCGCTAAATGATTATTAAACTAGAATGAAATTAAACCTAAATGATAAGATTTCCAAACATAAATATATGTTTTTTTACAATAATATATAAACAAATATATACACACTTGATTGGACTCATATGCAACTCAACTCGAATTGACCCGAAAATTTAAGGTTTACTCGACTAAAAAATCAATTGATTTGATATTTATCTGGCCCCAAAATGAACCGATTCGATATTGACTCGACCCAAAATTAACCCAATATGATATTATGTCGACTCGATATCAAATCTGACTTGAGTTACTATAGACCCAAACTAAATCCAAACCATACTTTATCTAACCCGAATCAACCTAAACCGAATATATCTGACCTAAAAATGACCTGACCCGAATGATTTGTTTGTCACTCTAATCTTAAATGGCCAATTTTTTTATGTCAATCTGATATGAAAATATCTTAATTCAGTGATAAGTTTATAGTTATGATTATAAACATTCATTGCAATTATGGATATTTTCTTGTCTTAATAAAACTAGGGGATTTTATAAAAATAAAAAATAAATTTGACCCGTTGGAATGATACATAAGTTTAAAAGTTTAGGATTAGTTTAAATTTGTCCCATAGTTTTGAGATGTTTAACGCAATTAACCGACTTCTATTATGATTATTTATATTTTGACCCACCCTATTTGTTTTATTTCTCACTAAACCCCAACAAAGTTTCGTAACTCATAATTTCCGCTCTGTTATTCCAAAGGTGGTTATAATAAAAACCCCATTCTCTCACTTCTTTTCTCAATTAGTTTATTTCCCAACTGGTTTAATTTGCATTTTCTCGCGCTTCACTTCGGGTAAATTTTCCGGAAAGTTCTAAGTACGACATTTTAATATAAGGTTAAAATAAAACATTATCGGTTTTGTTATTATTTAAATAAAAAAATCGGTAAAAATTTATCTAAAATATTATTATTTTTACTTAAAATATCAATTTTTTAATATTTTCGAAAAAAATATCAAATAATAACAAAATCGATAGAAAAAATAATAAAACCAGTAGCATTTTACCAAATCCGATAAAGATTCCAATAATAATAAAACCAGTAAAAAGAATAATATTTTTGATAACATTTTACCGATTTTATTATTTAAATAATAACAAAACTAATAACGTCTTTTTTTTACCTTGTATTAAACAGGTCGTTTACATTTCTAAAATTTTCCGTACATCCTTAATCCTCTTATTTGATTCAATCCCAGTTCAGATTTGTACTCCCGTGCTCCTTTTTCTTTAATTTTCATTGCAAAACATCTTTTAATTTTCAGTTTTTTATGTCCTGAATATAATTATGTATCGTTCTTCGTGATCTCATTTTTGCTATTTTTTTTCTGGATTTTATTCTTTTAGTTCCTTTTCGGTTTATTTATTGGCTTTTTTTGTCGATCTTGACCTTCGGCGACTTTGCTCTCAATTCGTTTTCTCTGAATCAATTCACAAAATGAAACCTTAGTCAATTTGATCTTAACGTCGGTTTCCCCTTTTGCGTCCCCTTAAAAATGTAGGTTTATAGAGGATTAATTTGAAATCTTGCAATAAAGTCTTTGGGGATTGTTTAGTAATATTGGACAAAATTTTGCTGGACTGAACTTGAACTTGAATCTGAGGAGCAGTGGGATTAAAACAGAGTAACGTAAGAGGAAAGGATGCATTCTTTTGGGTACAGATTAAATGGCCTGCTAACATTTTCCGTGACAATTCTGGCACTAATGTGCGCCATCACGTCTCTCTCGGACAACTTCAACACTCTCTCTCCCTCTGCAGAAATCCAGGTCCACCTTTGCTCATATAGAAGTACCTGGGATAATTAGTGTGTTTTTAATCGCCTTTTGGATTGTTTCGTGTTTTGATCTCTTATATTTTTTTTGGGTGTGATTGTAGATTATGAACATTAATTGGTTCCAATAGCAGCCACAAGGGCATGAAGAGGTAATGTTGTTTGCAGTCATGGGTTTAATTGTGTTTGATAGAGGAACTACTTGGTTGTGTATTTCACTGATATGCTCGTTTAGTTATTGTTCTCTTATTTTCAGCCATACGCTGGACTTTATCCCACACCTCTGATTACTTAATTAGTGATTGTTGTTCAATTCTAAGTAAATGCTTTGGACTCATGTAGGTCAGCCTAACGATGAATGTATCAGCTGATTTGCAGTCGTTGTTTACTTGGAACACAAAACAGGTTTGCTGTTCCTAGATCTTTATGGTTTCTTCTGTTAGAACTTTATGATATTTCCTTCAATTATAGTAAATGCATGGGACAGTTTTTTTTTTCTACAATGGATTTCAATATGTTTTTTTTTTCATTGAGTCATGCCTTTCTTATCCCTAAAACTCATATTCTTAATCCAACAATGCTATTGTAGATGGAGTGATTATTTGATTAGGGTTTGCTTTTGTAGTCAGTTGCTCTTTGTTGTAAACATTTGAAGCTGATTTAAAATATTGTATCACAGGTTTTCATTTTTTTAGCAGCTGAGTATGAAACCCCAAAGAATTCCTTGAATCAGGTAGGGTTAAATTCCAATCATTGTTACCTGTTTGTGTTTCCGGTAACCCAGATCACATTTTTTGAGGCCAAGTCTATTTATGTTTTCATAAGTGATGATACTTGTCAATCCTCTGCTCTGCTTGTGATATTTAAAAGTACCGCAATTAGCATATAAAATTTATCGGTATTTGGATTAACAGAAAATATATTCACTACTAATTGATTCTTTTGACATGGTGTTTTGCATGTCTCTCTTTGGGATGCTATAATACCTGCCAAAGAGCATGCTAAATTTTGGATCCACACCTCAAACAAGTATAGGTTTGTTGATCAGGTATGCTCCTTAAAATGAAGTAGCTTCTTCTTGTTCATCAAATTTAGACAAACTAATTGTGGCTTTCTTGCAATGAGGAATAATTGTCTTATTTCCTCGATCTTTCATTATCTAGGGAAACAATCTCTGTGGAAAAAAATTCAACTTAACATTGCACTGGCATGTTATGCCGAAGACTGGAAAGATGTTTGCCGATATTATAGCCTGGTAGAATCAGAGAACTTGAGATCGAGCCTTCTCTTAGTGGGCATTAATGCTAGGTTGAATTAGAAGGCTTGAAACGTTGACACTTATGTTTGAGAAAGTGAGGAAATGAATTAACTTTTAGATTGAAATAAGAAGGAAGTTTTCAAAGTGTTGAAAAAGCTATACACGTCGCTTTGTACTTAAAATTTCTTTGATGAATACAACCTTAATGACTTAGATTTCGGACATAAGTATGGTATTTTTTGCCCTATTTGTTCAAGGTAAGCAATAGGTAGGGGTTGATTTGCGTACCCTGGGCCAAAAACTAGAATGTCTGAATTCCGACGTTCCATAATCCGAAACCTTGGCTGTAAAAAATTCATTTAGAAGAACACTGTTAGTTTTGAAATGCGTGTGCAGGAGAGGAGGGACCAAATTGTGAAGGTATTGCGAGTCCTGTTCCAAATAAACAGAACAGGGGGAGAAAACCAATGTCTAATGTTTGTAACAGGGAAAAGGTAATGGGGTTGGGACATTGATCACTTCAAGTAAAACTGTTCTTCATGTGCTTCACTTTCCCCTCCATAAACTTTGTAACACTTGAAATGATCAGCAGAATAGGTACTTTAGAGTTCTGACCAAAGAGTATGTTTGTGTGGTGAGCTTTCCATCTGTTTCAACTACGCAAAGCATTATGAAATTACCAAAATTATTACAATTTTTGGATAAAATTGTTTCAATTTCGATAATCGAAGTTAAAATCCGAGCAGTTTTAATGATAGATGTAAACCTGATAAGCAATTTTTGGATTCTTTTTCAAATGAATGAAGAAGTAGTTGGCTACAAGTACTACGGGGCATAGGCTTTAACTGTGATTTATGTAGTTGTCTCACTTCTAGACCTTATCTTATACTTTTAACATGACAATGATGTATAATTAAATCGTCTCTGAATTAAGGTAGTAACTATGAATTACATAAGCTTTATGTTTCATTTACCTTAAGGCGTCCTATGATTATGGGCATAATCTCAAGCAGTTATGTGAAGCACTATCATGCAACTATGTAATTCAATCGTAAAACATACCATAAAGCAGAACTGATTGGAGAAACCCCCCCCCCCCAAAGATTAGAGACAAAAAGGTAAAAGATAAGCTTAATTCCAACTGCTACACCATCATTAGCAAGGCTTGGCCTATATTGTACATTGAGAATTCGATATGTTTGAAGAGAAAAAGATTCAGGCAATGGGTTGAGCAATGTTGGCTCGATTAGCATTAGATCGACGGGTATTCAGCACATAATAAACACACATTGCCAAAAGCACTGCAAATGTCAAACCGAAAACAATGCCAGCAACTCCACCAGCTCCCATTTCATGGTCTGATTTATCCGGTGTCGATGACACCTTGCCTGCAAGTGCTTTAGACCCGTCAACTTGAGCGGCAACGGGCAACGTTGTGCAGTTGGAATCCGAGCAAGGGTTTTCAGTGTTGGGATGGAGACAATGATATGTAGAGGGCGAGAAGGCCATGGGGAGCTCTTTCTTGAGCCCAATGGAAAATGATGATAAGATAAGCAAGAAGCAAATGAGAAGAAATCCACTCTTTGCTTGAGTTAAAAAACTTTGGGCACCTTTACAATGGCTTTTATAAGGCCTTTTAAAAGTGGTGGTTGCTTGCCATAAATTTCTCCTTTGTTTTTTTCTTTATTATTATTACGCAGAGACGTTATATTTTGAAGACAAATACCAAGATTCGAACCCACAAAATAGAACAACATAACATCATTGACTACTCAACCAATTAATGAATGACTCCTTTGAGTTTCTTTTAATTTCCATTTACTTATCATTGTGCTCTTTTTTCTCCATTTACTTGCCATTCAAATGAGAAGAAAACCATACCCTAATCTCATCATTTACATGAAATTATGTCTTATATAGGAAATAATGTTGTGAATGATTTTCTCTTCATATATTTATTATATACGAAGAAGGTATGATAGAGGGTTTTGCTTAGGTTGAAGGATTAGCAAAAGATATATATGATGAAGTAATAATAATTCCTTTGGCAAAATCACAAAGTTTTTATGGAGGAAAAGGGGAAGATTTAGAGGTTCAATGGGCTAATTCGTGTGGATGAGCAATTGGGAGACCTCAAAATCTAAGGTAATTGGGTTGGTTTAGTTGAAGAGGCAAATTCAAAACCACATTGTATCTGTTTTAGAACATGTTAACCCACCCATATTGGGAGATCATATTAGCATGTTGAAATTTCAACTTCCATTTAATGGTTCTCCATAAATTGCAAAAATACGTAGATTCTTTGTTGAAAACCGGATCAATGACTTGAAAATCAATTTAAATCAAAATTGAATTAAATTAAACAAATAACTACCACAAATTTTGATTTATTTATTTTACTTTTATTTAATAATTTATTGTAATTAAATTTCACTTGTTTATTATTTTTTACTGAATTGATATCATAAAATTTATTTCACGTTAAATTCAATTAAAGATTGTAGAATTAATATAAAAATAAGTATCTAAAATATACTTAAAGTTAACTTTAGGTGTCTAAATAATTTTTCGTTAAAAATATGTGCATAACGTTTTTCTGTTACACTTTTAGGTACCTAACGTTTCCGATGTTTATTTTTAGATGTCTAGGCTATAACAATCGTTAAAAAACACCGTTATCTGACACGTGTCAGACATATAAACTTTTTTTTTTAAAAAAGCCCAATATTTTCTAAATTTATAAGGAAAAAAAAAACTCTAATTTCAATTCCTTACCACCATCAGTCACCAAAACACCGCCAATCGATCGAAACCCCGACGATATGCAACTGCCTAAACCCCCATCGATTCGAACCCCCATGCTTCATGCGGTGATTGCAGTCGAAAATCTACAATCGCAGGTGGAGAATCCCTTTCAATCGATCATGAAAATCTTGTGTTTACACAACCGTTGGGTGTTTGGTCGATCGAAAAATAAGGGGTTTTGGTCGTTGGATTGTTGTACGGTCGAACAACGTTGGATGTTCGACCAATTGACAATGTTGGTGGCAGCTGGAGGTGTTAAGGGATTAAAATTTGAGTTTTAAGATTTTTTGGGTTTTCTTGGTAATTTTATAAATTTTTGGGTGTTTTTTAAAATAATTTTTAATTTAATTTTTTAATTTAAATAAAAATAAAAAATTTATATACATGACATGTTTCACTTAACGATTAAATTTAACAACGTTACAATCCATACACCTAAAAGTATAACGTATGCACTTATTTTTAATAAAAAATACTTTATGTATTAAAAGTTAATTTGAGAATACTTTAGACAATTATTTTTACATTAAACCAAAACTTTAATCCAGACATTTCGAGCACCGACAGGTAATTGACAATACATTCTTGATGGGATTTTGATTAACTATGCTATGACAAAAGAAATTGGAGTAGTTGGCAATGCGACAACATAATATAAGACTAAAGAAATATATTATTGAAAATGTTAATATTTTTAATATTTTTTGTAGAGCGTTACTTAAAATGTTATTTTTTTCTACCATAAATGTTAATTTTGCTACCTAAAATGAATATTTTCGATATTAATATTTTCGATAGAAAACATAATATTTTAGGTATTAATCTATCAAAAATATTAAAAAATATTAATATTTCTGATAACACATTTTCTTACCCTTATACTATACTGCTGTAGATGCTCGATTTGTCCGGGGCGTTATTTAATTTTAATTGGGTTTTACTATTATCGTTATTAGGGTTATTAGCATAAGTTTGGTATTTGTTAGTTATTAACATGAAAATATATGGCATAAAATTGCAATAAAAAAAATAATAATTTATAACATGGATTAAGTATATTTATTTTTACTATTACAGGGCCTACACCAGAGTTACAACTAAAACGGGCCAGACCAAACAGGCCAAGTATAAGAGAACCCTAAAACCCGTTAGGGTTTCCAGCTTCTGGTTCCAGCCGCCGCTCACCCTGGACTGTTGGATCTGCTCCTAATCCAACGGTCCAGATTAAAGGACCATTAGGGTTTTTGCCCTATGCCCAGCGCCGCCTTCCACGTCCAGAATGAGCCTCTGTCGACCGTTCGTCTCCACCAGTCAGCTTCCACCGACTGCGCAGACTCACAGAG